CAAGTGAGTGTTCATTTATTAACTCAACGTTTTTTCACCTTAGAATATACAGGGGGGAATGTGATAGAAATTATATCACAATTAGAAGAAATAAAAGGCACTCTGAAAACATTGGGCGAAGAAGGCAGTGATAAGATGAAAATGACTAAGGTCCTGATATCATTGCCAGATAATATGAAGTATTTTGAATCAGCTTGGGGATCCACCCCCGAAAACAAGCACCCTTTGGCAGAACTTTTGTCTAGGCTAATGCTCGAAGAGAACAGGAATAAATCATCAGAAAAAGCCCAGGCTTTGGCAGCCAGTTCCAAGGGAAAGCAAATAAAACACAAAAATGATTTAAAGTATTTTCAATGCGGTGCAAACTACATGAAGAGGAATTGTCCTCAAAGAGTTTGCAATTTTTGTAAGAAGCCAAGATACTTAATGGGGAAACGTTGGTTTAAGAAACGGAAAGACGGTAATCACAGAAATGAGCTGAGAGACAGCAGGTCGACTGATCAAGCACTAATATCAAAGTGTGTAGTTGATATAATGAGTGTTATAGACCTATCTATTTTCACCTGGTATGCGCGCGCAACACGAGGCAATGCCTTTTTATTGGTTAACTAGTACAGGTGTGAGATGTTCATTTTGCACTCTGGACATCCCCTTGTCCTTGTTCATTGCCCGTGGTCTGACAAGAATAAAAGTATAGTTGATATTCAACTTGACATAGCTTGACAAGTGACATTCAAAAGTTGTTTGAAATTTTTATTGACAAATACGTTGCACGATACGTTGCACAACACGCGGTCTTTCTCCTTTCTTTTTTATCCTGTGCAAATAAGAAGGACGAATTGTTATACGTAAGTCCAACATAATTTGGTAAAGTGCGTTTTTTTTTAAAGATAAAAGTCAAACTGACATTAGGTTGGCAATACAATGTAAAATTGTCAATGCTATCAAATTTTTCATGTAGAAAAGGCTTGTGTTGCCAACATAGTTACTAAATTTTTGACTTGGGGAATTATCTTTAAAAAAAAAAACAGATTTTACGTTCTGCCTCGTCTTGCGTAATGAGCGTTCGGTGTTTGTTTTTATCTAATGAAGTTTTCGTATTATTACCTCTGTCTGGTAAAATAGATAGGTCTATTGATGCTGAAGAACTCAACAACCACAGTTGGTGGTTGGTGGACAGTGGAGTAAGGGAGCATATGTGCTATGGCAAAAACCAGTTAATTGAAATGAAAACGCAGCAGAGAAACAAGTGAAAGTAGGTGATGGTAGGTACTCTAGTAGTGGAAGTAAAAGGAAAGGTTCAACTTTTCGCCTTTAATGGAAATAATTGGGTAAAAACATATTTGCTCAATGTATTTCTTATACCCGAGCTAGTCGTCAACCTTTTTTCATTAAGTACCATTGGACAAGGGCATTCAAATGTTTTCAGATAAAAACAAGTGTAAAATACTGGATAAAGAGGGCAAAACAAAGGCCTAAGAAGAAAAGGAAAATTATTTAGAATGGAATTCAATTGAGGGTCAAGAAATGGAAAAACATGAATCATAGTGCAATGCAGTTATAAATGTAATGAATGAAATGAAAGATTGCCTCATGTAAATTTTGAACAAACTAGGAAAGTATTGAAAAGAAATATATAAAATTGGAGGATTGGAATAAGGAACCTTTGGCAGTAAGTGTTTATCTGGAAAACAACACAGACTACCGTTCACAGAAAGTAACAGCAGAGCTCAAACGACATGTGAGTTAACACATGGTGATTTGTGTGCCCCACTAGAAGTTAAATCACTATAGGAGGAGCCAAATACATGCTTACATTAAAGGATGACTACTCAAATTTTAGGAGAGTGTATTTAAAAAAAAAATGGAACGGAGAAGAAAATTGAGCATTTTGTAAATTGGGCAGAAAATATGACGGGAAATAAAAGCAAGATATTAATAACAGATAATGGTCTCGAGTTAGCCAATAAAAAGGTCCAAGACATAATATGTGATAGCAGGGGAATAGTCACCAGAAAAGTTGTGCATATAGTCCACAACAGAACGGGAGAGCAGAACGTGAAAATCGTTCTATCACGGAGTTAGTGTGAAAACATGGTTACATGGTTCTGGATTGTCAAAGATTTTGGGCAGAGGCAGCGAATGCCGCTGTGTTTGCTCTTAACAGAGTGGAAAATAGTCCTCAAGATGACCAGTCACCATTCTTCATGCATTTGGAAGTAAAGTTAGCGTTCACATGCCAAAACAAAAAAGATCAAAATTGGATGCGAAAAGTCTATTTGGAGTTTTCGTAGGGTAGGTGTGAAGAGGTCAAGGGCCCCAGAGTATACTTGACTGATAAGGGAGATGTAGAAATCCATAGAAATGTAGTATTTATGCCAGATAATTGTGAAACCAAGTTGAGGCACTCTGAAAGTAAGAAATAAGATGCTATTGTTTCTTCGAGCCACCCAGAAAACCAGGAATTGGTGGGAGCTAGCTTTGAGGGTACCTTGGATGGTGTCCAAAATGCGGACAATGCACAAGAAGATGTATTTGAAGATGCCCATGGGACAAATGAATCACTAAATGAAGTTGAAAGAAGCATTAGTTCAGAATATGAAGAAAAACACATACGGCAAGCAAGAAGACAAGGAAAACGACTAGTTAAACAACCAGTTTGGGAGAAGGATTATGAAATTGGTGCAGGTGACATTTGCATTCACACCGAAAATGAAGAACCAATAGATCAGGAAGAAGCAATGTCTGGAAAACATAGTGCGAAGTGGAAAGAAGCAATTGCAAATAAGTTGGAAGTGCTTAAGGACAATAATAGATGGACATAAGTATCATAGCCCAAGGGCCAAAAAGTGTAAATAAATAGGTGTTTAAAATACAAAGCAATGGACAGTTTATAGCAAGATTGGTGGCACGGGGCTTCTAGCAAGAATAAAGTGACGAAATGTATGGTTTGTATGCACCTGTTGCCAAACTGTGTACATTTCGAGTTTTATTGACAATGGTCGGGTTCATCAGGACGTAGCGCTACAATAGCGATCATCAGCAGTGTTGCCAAATTATTACAATTGTAGCAAAACCAGTTAAGATTTTTGAAGACAACCGTTTCATAAAAGAAAATATAGATGAGGGCTTTATTAATATCGTAAAAACGAAAACTGAAGATAATGTTGCTGACGTTTTAACAAAGCCTTTGTCTAAAATTAAATTTGGAAAATTTACAAAAATTTTGTGTTCAGAATAGAATAAGTCAGTTTTTAACTGTAAAGTCGTATAATTATCTCTACTGCGTGTTTTAGTATTTTCTGTGTGAGTGTGAGTCTGGCCTGGTTTCTTTGGTTAGGCCGACATTGTTGCCCAGGCTCGTCTTAGGCTAGCCGCGCACTAGTAACTTTTTCATTGACCAACATAAAAGTTGCTCAATCAAAAAGTTGCTGATAAATTTGTGCACCACGCACTACACTGGTGAGTTGCTTTGTTATAAAATGGATTTCGTTGAGACAGCAGTAATTATTGGTTTTATTTTAAAAAATAGAAAAAAAAAGAACAAAAAACGTTTTGCTTTTTGAAAGTTTACGTAAATATCCTCAGAAATTTTTCCAATACTTCAGAATGTGCTATACTAGTTTTGATAGGCTGCTGTCCCTAGTTAAAAGCCATATTTTACGTCAGGACACTCTTATGCGGTTGGCTGTGCCAGTAGCAGAAAGATTGGCTGTAACATTAAATACTTTCTTCATGAAAGCACCGCCAAAAATGGTATACAATGCAACGAAGAACGTTTGACAAAGCCCATGCAAGCAACTAATTAATCCCAAGTGCGCGCGGACAGGTCTAGACCTGTAGGTTATATTATTTCAAGCAACAGTTGAATCGCCTTCAAAATAGATCAAGATGTAATTTTTCAGTTGCCGTGATTAAAAAGTTGCTAATGCGTGGTATCTTATAAAAACAAATGTGTTTCATTTTCGCAACTATCCAGTTGCCGAAAAAATGTTGCTAGTGCGCGGCTAGCCTTATAGATTTCAGGACACTTGGGGCGTATGCGTATTCTACGGAGAGCTAGCGGGAGACCGCCGAAAGCAGAAAGATCAGCTGAAACGTTACAAAGATGTCTTTCACGAAACGCTCAAGTCAATCAACATTCAATGAATGGGAAGATCTGGCATGGCATCGTAATGAGTGCGGAGAAACATTGTAGGCACTTACGCAGAAGCAGAGAGAACAAGACCTCGCCGAATGGCACAAAAAAAACACGAGTTTCCGGAATGCGGCAGAAATACATCCAGAATAAGACTATATTCAGACACAGAAGATGAACAAGCCTCTTTATGTGATATTTTTAATTTTTGTTGTATACATATATTCGAATAACGAATAAAGCATTATTATCATAATTATTAAATAAAATTCGGTCATAAAACCGATCAGCCGCTTGCACATAAAAATGTCAAACAACTTTGAGAATCCCAGAAAGGGACTAATGTGTCTGTAGTTATCTAACAAGTTAGGATCACCCTTGTGCTTGTACCATAGCCTGATAGCTTTTAAGTCTCAGGATTCACGTCCTCTTTGAGAGAATTATTCATCATAAAGCAAACTTAGCAAACTACTTCTATGATGGCTGGAATGATCTCACGAATTTATAGGTATTTCATCAACACCGCACTACTGTGTTTATTTTTAATTTTTTGCGATACTTTTTTATAAGATCTGGAATAGATTTTAATTAAATGATCAATGTATTACCATCTTGAGAATATTTCAGCCGGGTTGCCCCCCTTGACATTAGTATAGGTAATGCCAAATTTTCAAAAATTTTCTGCATACACTGTACCTATACAGTTTTTCATAAAATTTGTTTCCCGGTGGGACATCCTGTATAGATATTATTAAAGGATGGAGGTATGAGCAGTGTGAGAAAATAGGATATTTGTGAAAACCCCGAAAACAAGAAATAAAGATGTGAGGAATAATTTGTGAGAAAAAAGTCAAAATATTACCTTTTTTTAAACTCTTGTATTCGTCGTTTTCTTTCGATTAATTCTTGGTTGCCAGAATCTTTAGGACCGCAATGGGCTCTATCCATTGCAAAAGCTGATTGAGTTTGATTCGCAGTTCCCTAAAAATACAGATTCAACTTTCTTTATTAATATTCCAGTTTCTAATTAGTAATTTGAAGTTTTAAATTTAAAAATAAATATTTTTCACGAAAACAACTAGGGCAAACGCTTTCAGCTCAAAAATTAAATTGAACTTTATACTCCAGCAGCAAAGCAGAAACAACACTTGGTGGCAAAGATACAACATTTGGTGGTAGCTACCACAACAAAGCTACTGTAAGTATTTATTTTACTGGCGGTCGTGCAGTTTCACTTACAGTCTTGCGTTTTTCCATTTGATAATTCTGGTTCAAATTACATAAAATTGTGCCCAATTTGTCAACTTTTTCTTCTTCGTTCATTTGCACTGCAATTCAAATTGGAAGTACTATAAGAAACCAAATAATTCATTAAAATTACCCGGACTACCATCATTAGCTCCTGTCCGTTGCCTAACTTCCCTCGTGCATATACTGGCTTCATTTAGAAAATGAATTAAAGCCTCCATGAACTGCTTAGAGTTTGTTATATCACAACAATCCATTGCTGGACCGATTTTTAAACTAAAATTTTGACACAATCACAAACCTGCTAGCGTCAATATTACAACGTCAAAAAAATCCGTAAAAAAAAAGAAAAAATGGCTAATCCAAATTGTCCAAATTCTAAGTATGACCATATGCTGAATCCTACGTGCAAGAACAAACAGTCTACTCAAATACCCTCGAAAACTACCAAAGCAATGAACCATAGCGCCTGGGAAGGACATTCCAACGAGAAGAAATTTATGGACGCCCTGACAAATCTCATGAACGAATCTTGGATGGTTGTATGCCAAATGAGAGAAAAGAGTGGACTTAATGCTCAATGTGAGTAAATTTTTTTATTTAGTACCTACTTATTGCTCCAATCATTGGGCAATGGGCTAGAATGAACCGCCGAAGGCATCGTATGTCCCTGATAGTTGGATATGCAGTGCCTTAATTATTCATGCCCATCATTCGCAATGTTAAGTTAATGGAGTCTATTTTGACCGACGATCAGCCAGATCATTTGTGATAAGTCGTATAGGTTTTCAATAAGTCGTATAGGTTTCCAAAAAACGCTCCATTGAAACAAATCTGGGTGAATTTGAGCAGTTTCTTATTGAGCGAATACAAGTATGCTCACGTGCAGATGCAAATGCACTTTAGAGAAATAAATGATCTCGGCCACAGCTGTTTTCTTCTATAGACTACCTACTCTACTGGTTTTTCTCGATTATGGTAACCTCCTAGAATTTTTGACTAGATGTAACTAGGCAAGTTCTGCCTCCTCACACTTCTCTGAGAGCATCCAATTGACCTATTATCCGTTCACAATCCGATGTCCGCAGGTACAGGTAAAATTTATCACTTTTCAATGCTATTTGATAGGGAAAGTAGGGAAAGGTGATAAATTTACCTGTACCTGTGGACATCGGATTGTGAACAGGATATACCACAGACGCATCAGTATTGACTTGTATTCAAAAAAGATTTTAACGAAACGTAGGTACTACAATTCCAAGAAGATATAACCAGGAATATCCAATTCAGTTATAATTGTGTGTGCATTATATTTATTGACAAAGCAGAGAATTCCATTTCTCGTCACAACAAAACCCTATTCAAATTACGCCAGCATATTTTCTATTCTAGATCAAATGAGCACAACCGAAATTGCCAAAAGAATCGATGATATTTCGAGAAAGCTTGAAGAGAAATATAGAGAAGTGGCCGCATTGGAAGAACGTAAATCCAAATTACTAAACGTGAGCCATTTGAAATTAAAAAAAAAAAACATATAAATTCACCTTTCTTTAGAAAACTTCAACTCGGGGAGTAGGGACTCCTGCAAGACAACCAGGGTATCCGCCAAGACCACCTGGCATGCCTCTTAACGCGACTTCGTCACCATTATATGGTGCCAGTTTGCCGCCATTTGCTCCTTATGGACCCAGGTTGCCACCATCGGCATTAAGCAGTCAAAGAAGGGTAATGCCTCCAATTGGAAGCCCAGCAAGAGCAACTAGTTGTCGTAATGATTGTCCAGTGAGTACATTCAGTAAATTAAATGAAACTTTATTTAGCTTATAGAGTATCACAATGAGTATAATTATTGATATTCTAACACACTTAGTGCTGATTTTTTTATTTTATAGGGTTCAGGGGCTCCTCCAGGACCTTACAGAACCTTTTGAAGTGTCTGTAGTGGATTCAAGTACTGTAAAAATAATATTGAATAAATGAAATTTATTAAACAATCAGCAGTTTATTTACAAAATACAAATATACAAAAAAAAGGGTTATCGCCACCCAAAAATCACTTTCCTCCATTTTCAGGGGGTACGCATATTATCATCTGACGTTGAGGTTCTACCTTGAAAAAAATCAGAAAACGAAGTGAGAGATTCTATTACCTATGTATACTCTAATAATTACATTAACTGCGCTTTTTGGTCGCGAACACACACAATCTTTATCCTGCCTTTGCATAGGAGGGGCAGGACTTCCATATTCTGCAAGACGACTCCAGTAGGCTTCATTGTCAGAATTTTCTTGTGAACTATTTGCTGACATAGCACTTGCTGATTGTCCCCCTGGTCTTTGGGGTGGTGACGGACTATAATGTGTCTGGGCTTGTTGGTAATACTCAGCTGCGATCGGTCTACCTAATAAAATATTGATAGTGATTTGATGAATTTATCAATGATAATCAGAAAGTGAGACCAAAATAATCTCCTAATACACAATAAAGATCACGTAGTCTCGGTGACTTAATTTTAAAGATTCCGACTTTCCTGAATACCTAAATTATTATCATTATTAAGCTCAATTTTATAGTTATAAGGATTATTTTAATCTTCAATGTAGTCACTCAGACTCAGCAATATTCTTTTTCTGACGGCGATATCGCCACTTGTCTTTCATTCCAACTTATTCCTTTTTCCCAAACTATAACGTTAGCGATTAAAGCATGCTATAAGATAAGCATAAATAAAGGGATCGTTCATGGATAGGAGATAGAATTGCTAGAAAAGTTATCGATAAGTTTAAACTGAAATATAATTTGAAACTTGATTTCCAGTCAACATCCTACTAACTGAGTTACCGAGGCCTTCGGTTCATTTCAACCTAATCGGTTGTGGTTCGTCAACTTTTTACGTGTTAGTGCTATTTCAGCAGTTACTGTCTAATGGATAAATGGATTCCAACAACCAATTCTTATGATTGGGAAACTCCAACCTTTACACTAACCACTCCAACTTTCAGAGATAGCCGAAAGTTGCCGTTTGTATCTGGTAGAGTTCCTTGGTTCAAATCCTAGTCGAGTGCAAACTTGTCGTTAACTTTTATTTACCTATCTGTTCGAATATGCATGCTCCAATTATTTTTTTTGAACGTCCTCTTGAAAGTGCTGCCCTCTATCAACAGCTTATGATAACTTCCTATGTACCTACAGAAACCTGTATTTTTTTTAATTGACGTCTGAAATTGAAATTGAACCAATAGAAACATGACAATATCCTTGCGTGATGACGTAATTTTCATTATTGACCTAGGTATTTTTTCATTATTTTCATTATTCACCTAGGGAGAGAAATTCAATTTTTTCCTAGAAAAATAGATTGAATAATGACGATTTCCCAGATTAGTAGTAAAAAAAAGACTTTTATGTATTATTAGTACCAGATTTGACATAATCTACTGATGATTATTCAAAAACTGTACATAGGATTGAATTCATACTAACATGGAAAGATTGAGGGCGTAGCACCCATGCGCATTTCTTTATTATTTTGGTAAGTGAATGACGGGTCTTGGGTGGGTTTACACCTTTGATGCATCCCCACCATGACCCTTCTCGACCAACTCAGATCTCCTGGCCCATAAGGGTCTTGTCATCGGTTCAGTGTTTTATAATACCGGCCCTAAGTCCCTTTCTTCGCTGTGCCTGATATAACCAGCCAGCATCTCCTTCATTAAAGGTGTTCAGTGACTGCCGTTGGTCGAGTCTCATCTTCATTCTGTCACTGGTCAGACGTAGCTTATTTCTGGCCAAATCGTGTACCACTCTAAGTTTGCCCTGGAGATCAGCCACGTAAACTGGAAGTACAGCCTCGTCTTCATCGACTGGAGGCCTGCCAAACATTAAATATACCGAAAGCTTCATTTCTCTTCCAGTCAACAGCATAGATGGTGTATAGCCGGTGGTTTTTTCCATCCGAAATCTCCCATTTACGAGTGATCAAGTCATCTCGCAGGCACAACGAGTCCCATTGCAGCCAGTATCCCTTCACCGTTTGACTCAAACTGGAAATTTCTTGCCATCCAATTCGTTGTCCGTCTTGTAGCCAGCCACACACCATTTTCAATTCCTTACCATATTTTGTTGTTCTTCGAAGTCTTTTCTCGTAATGTCCTCATCAGTATTAGCGTCGTTGTCGGAATTCTTAAGCCTTATTTGTTGAACGACTCCAGAATTTTTAGTTACCTCCTTTTCATCTTGCCCTTGGCAGAATTTGCATGACCTGTCAATACATGGCCTTCGTGATAGGCTGTCGACGTTGGCATGACTCCTTCCTTCGCTATGTTTGATTTGGAAATCATAACTTTGTTATTTCTCTAACCAACGCCAACGCGCTATTTGACCCTCGGGATTTTTAAAATTGAGCAGCCATTGCAATGCAGAATGGTCGGTTCTAACTAGGAACTTCCGGCCATAGAGAAAGCTGTGGTAATGTTCAATAGATCTTACTACTGCCAGAAGCTCCTTTCGGGTGACACAAGAATTCTTCTCTGCCTTTCTAATGGACTTACTGAAGTATCCAATTACTACTTCTTCGCCGTTTTGAATTTGGGAGAGAACAGCCCCTATTTCGCTTTGCGAAGCGTCGGTATCTAACATAAATAGACCTTCATCCCTGGGATACGCCAGAGCTGGAGCACTAGTCAATTTATTTTTCAGCTCCGCGAAACAAAGAGACTGAATTATCTACATTTTATCCCGATCAAACATTGTTTCCGCCAGAAATCGTTGGCGAATTTCTGCGGATTGCCCTAATATCTACCGCCTGTGTTTGAAAACGTAGGGAATGTTGATTATATTGCATGCTTAATTTGTGTCATATCAATTGAAAATGTTACTACACATATGAATGTGCGTTTTTCCAAATAAAATCTGTAATTTCTACTTTTAAAATTATTAAGTTTCTGAATAACGTAAATTTATAATGTACTAGCTAATGACCCGCTGCGTGGCCTGCGTGAAAATACATTTTGAAATAATACACTTTTTTTCAAATTTTGTTGTTGATATTCTATTTAATTTTTTTTTAATAAATGAAATATGGCAACGTTGTTTCATGCTGTCAAAAAAAAGTTGGGTTATGTTGTTATGTAATGTGAATGAGTTTGTTTACAATTAAATTAATAATTAACTCAAAATTAATTTGTTTTTTCCGAGATGCGTAACCTATCCACAAACCTTCCTTGGGATGGCCATAACAATCTATCAAAGTTTCATCGTAATTGGCTAAGTGGTGTAGGAGTGCATATCCGGATACCCCGCGAACATTGATTTTTATATATATAGATTAGGGAAATAGCTGTGGCAACGCTGTTTACTCCAGTGACACGGGATTTGACACATTCATTCATTTTATGTCAAAAATTGACTATCCAGTGTTGCTGTGCTGTGTTTAGGAATATTTGCGATTTTCAATCAATTTTCAGTGTTTTTGCCGTCTTTTCTATTTTATTATCAACTACAATGATTCGCCAGTGCGTGATCTGTAAAAAAATTGCCTATTCTAACCCTGGATTAATATTTCGACGGTACGTTAGGTTATGTTTTTTTCAGCCCAAGCAGTGGTGTGGTTAATTGTATATTTAGAGGTCTTAATTTTTCATGATCTAGAAAAACTGCACGCCTCTGATAAAGGCAGCCGGGAAAATGGAGGGGCAGGATACAGCGGTGCCATTTTTTAAGCCAATCTTTTTCTAACTTATGCATAACTCTGGCTGTACCTATGTATGATTGTAAACAAATAATAATTTTTGAATGGGATGTTCTTTTATTATGTGTCTAAGTTCTATGCGAAATACCGTTGAAATTCAGGTACCCAATCAAAACGAGCGTTCATTTCAGTTAGTTCATGTAAAGGCTTCGCAATCTTCCCAAAATCCTTAACAAACCGGCGGTAGTAACCTAGAGTCCCAGGAAACTTCTAACTTCATGTTTATTCTTTGGTCTGGGCCAATCTCGCACAGCTTGGACTTTATCTGGATCTGTCTCTATTCCTTTTGATGAGACCAGACCACATGGCCGAAGAAGTTTACTTTTTCCTGGAATAGGACACACTTCTTCGAATTTAGTTGCAGATTAGCACTTCGAATCCTGGCAAAAACTTCCTTCAAATTCGACCGGTGTTCATCGAAATCTTTGCCAATCACCATTACATCATCCAGATATACCATGCACATTTCCCAAGCCAGTCCTCGCAAAACTAAACTCCATCAGTCTTTCAAAAGTGGCAGGTGCATTGCATAATACAAACGGCATGACGTTAAATTGATGTAGGCCGTTTTCTGCAGTAAATGCGGTCTTCTCTTTATCCTCTTTATTTAGTTCCACCTGCCAATATCCACTTTTCAAGTCCAGGTCCACTTGGATTCTGATAGGGTGTTAAGGGTATCGTCAATCCGTGGTAATGGATAGCTGTCTTTCTTCGTAACGTCATTCAACCTTCTATAATCCACACAAAACCTGGTAGAACCTTCGTTTTTCGTAACTAGTACGACCGGCGATGACCATGGACTATTAGATTCTTCTATGATGTTGTCCTTCAGCATTTCCTTAAGCATGGTGTTAACTTGCTGTTGCTTTGTGAAAGGGAGTCTTCGTGGTGGTTGGCGAATGGGTGTAGCACTTCCTGTGTCGATGCGATGATCTACCAAATTAGTGCGTCCAGTAATTTTATCTTGCACAAAAACACCAGCCTCTTTCTGCACAAAGTCAATAGCTTTCTTCTTTTCTTGCTGGCCTAAGTGATTCCAGCTCTTTTCAAATTTCTCCAGAAGCTCTATTGATAAATGTGCTTCATTTGACACCGGCTCCTTCTTTGCGCATCTGACTACTCGTATAGCTGGTGTACATCTGCCAATGACGTCTCCTTTCTTGAATGTGACACGGTGTGTTATTAGTTTGGCCACTCTCACTGTAAAAACATTGTTGGAATTCACTAAGCAATATGCCACAAGTGTTCCATTCTGCATGTTTCCTGTTGGTTCCACGATCATGGTGTTCACGCATTCTAGCTGTTTTTCTAGGTGTGCCCGCACATTCGACTCACTATTTCCAGGAATTCGTGTATCTTCATCAGCGATTATTCTAATATGACAGTCCTTATTTGACGGTGATGAGAAGAGTATTTCTTCGTTGTCCACTCTCAACATTCTATTTTTAAAGTCCACTAATAGCAAATCAAAGGTTTATAGGACATCCACTCCCATTATAAATTCATTCATCCACAGTGATAGTTGCTGACAACTATCAACTATCACTTCTACCTTAACTATCATTACAGAGTCCTTAGTCGGGGCAAAGGTGGCGTTTCCTTGATGATGTCTGGAACCACCTTCTTCCTCCGCTTCACGATCTCCTGAACGAGAATGTCGCCTACAGTTTCTGCTAATATGTCATTCAGGGCCGCAGTTGTAGCATTTAATCTGTTTTCTGGCTCTTGGTTCTTGGTCTAACTTCGCGCAGAATTCCTGAAACAGCGCCTCCAGTTTTAGGAACATATCTGCATCTGAGTTTGGGCGATCCTCTGCTATCTTCACTTCCCTGATCTTGCTTCTTCGATTTAAAGAGGCATGTTTGGCAGTTTCATATTCCAATGCATGGACAACGGTGTCAGCTAAGGTGTTATGCCTACTCATTCTCAGTGCTTGTTGCAGGTCTGTATCTTTTACTCCATCGATAAAGTACTGGACATTTATCTGTTCAATGAAGTCTTCAAGAGCTTGTGGATACGCCAATCTCACCATTCTCTCGATGTCGCTACTAAATTCCTGCAGTATCTCAGATATACCTTGGAATCTGCTTTTGAGTTGACTCTGGTAGACTTGACTGAGATACCGTTTCCGTACCTCAGCTCTAAGGCTCCTACAACAGCTGCATATCCACTTTGTTTTGCCTCGGAATATTTTGAAGAATTTCAAGCGCCTTTCCTCGTAGTGCAAGTACCAATGATGTTGCTTTTTGCTGGTCATCCCATCCATTTGCACTAGCAGCGGCCTCAAACTGTCGTTTTTACATGGACCATGATGTTTCGCCGTCAAAAGTTTGGGGTTTGAGTTGGCCGCGTACGATTGTGCTCACCGATACATCCATTTTGCTGGTACTTTCGTTGATATTGGGTTCTTCGCGAATTTTCTCCATTTTCTTCTCCAGTTTTCTATATTTTTTCGCGAATTCTCGGATCGTCCCCATTTCGCCTTTGACTTCTTCTCGAACCGTTTCTATTTCGCTTTTGACTTCTTCTCGAACCGTTTCTATTTTGCCTTTGACTTCTTGTTGGATGTTCTGGAACAACCCAGCGATCCTGTCAATATCCCTCTGTCGTCTGTCTTCCTGTTCTTGCAGAATTTTCTGGAGTCGGTCTTGCTCTTGCTGTCGCTTGTCCTCTTCTTCCTGTTTTTCTTTAAGTCGCCTGTATTCTTGTTCTTGAAGAATTTTCTGTAGTCGGTCTTCTTCTTCTTCTTGTTTTTCTTCTGCTCTCTTCTCATCCGCAAGTGTCAACAAAGCGAGCACCTGGTTTAGCTGTTCTTCCATTTCGGGAGTATGTTTTCTCGTATTTACCATAAAAGCAAATTTCTTCACTCACTTATCCCACTTCTGACACCAATTGTTACTTTTACGGGTTCGCAGATAAGTGAGACTACTTTTTCGAACTTTAACGAATTTCATTAAAGACAAAAACATAAAAATCACACGAAATTTAACACTACTTTACACTCCGAACTACTCCAAATAAAGCTTATACGGCACGATTATTTTAACTGTAGGTACAGGGGGCAATCAAAAAGTACGAGTGGCGGGTTTATAACAATATTATCAGTTTATGAATGAGATGCGGTATCTATCTGTGTTAAGATGCCTTTAGGAAAACCATACATACCTTGTGGAGAGGTGGATCCAGGACCGCCCAATTCTGCTGGTAGACTTCTGTTACCGCCTGGGCAGGAATCTAAATTAACATTAAAGAGTCATATTACGAAGGATAAGAGGCAGCGTTCATATAAACTATCTTGAAAAAAAAAAATATCCTTCATAAAAATAAGAAAATCGTATTAACCTTCTGGCGTTCTGAAACCGGTGTTGAATGGAGATTGACTATAATCTAAAATAAAAAAACATGAAAATTGAGTAATAAGGCAAACTTCAACAGTTCTCTAACCTGGTGAAAATATCGTACCACCTGGTAAACTTTGAAAACCACCACCCGATTGTGCCAAACTACAAGTAGGCGGACAACCTAGAAATAAAATAGTACTTGACATTTTTTTAATATAAAAAGTTACTAAAGCTTGAAAATACTTTACCGCCAGATGAACTTTGAAAACCACGACCTCCAGACTCTTGACTAAAATCTGGAATAAAATTAGTTTAGTAGAAGTAACAGTATAATAATAATATTTTAGTATCTGGAGTCATGATTTCAGAGATACCTTAACATAGAAGGCCTTTCTGAAGAACAGACAGCTAATAATTATTGAAGACCAGATTGAGACCATTAAAAAAAGAAAATTAATGGGCACGATAACAAATAGGCTCTTAAATGTCCATGTTACTCATTGATAAGATGCAATTTCTTGCATTCAGAAGCAAGTTTGATTACCTAATGCAAAGGGAGAGTCTCTTACTGATCAAATAGCCATCAGCGAACTGAGCAGGAGAAAATTATTCGAAACAGTGTAATGTTCATTTAACAAAGTACAGAGTGTTTCACATGAAAAGAAGTGATTTGCTGCTTCAGTTAGCAAATCACCAGCAGCAGAACCCTATATAATCCCTTATTTTCAAGAAGAAACACTTATTTATTCTAGGGAAATCAGCAGTGGTGAGTGACTATTTATGACTACTTGAAAAAATACCAACCTTGTGAAAACACTGTACCGCCCGGTAAACTTTGAAAACCGCGACCTCCAGTTTGTGGTGACTTTTGACTAAGATCTGGAATAAAATTAGTTTAGTAGAAGTAACAGTATAATAATAACATTTTAGTATTTGGAGTCATGATTTCACAGATACCTTAACATAGAAGGCCTTTCTGAAGAACAGGCAGCTAATAATTATTGAAGACCAGATTAGATCATCAAAAAAAGGGAATTAATAGGCATGATATTAGCACCGGTAACAAAAAGGCTCCTAAATATCCATGTTGCTCATTGATAAGATGCAATTTCTTGCATTCAGAAGCAAGTTTGAGTACCTAATGAAAAGGGAAATTCTCTTACTGATCAAATGGCCATCAGCGAACTGAGCAGGAGAAAATTATTCGAAACAGTGTAATGTTCATTTAACAAAGTACAAAGTGTTTCACATGAAGATAAGTGATTTGCTGCTTCAGTTAGCAAATTACCAGCAGAATCCTATATAAATCCCTTGGTACTCTTACTTATTTTCAAGATAAAACACTTATGTATTCTAGGGAAATCAGCAGTGGTGAGTGACTGTTATGACTACTTGAAAAAGTAACCAACCTGGTGGAAACACTGTACCGCCCGGTAAACTTTGAAAACCGCGACCTCCAGTTTGTGGTGGCCCTTGACTAAGATCTGGAATAAAATTAGTTTAGTAGAAGTAACAGTATAATAATAACATTTTAGTATCTGGAGTCATGATTTCAGAGACACCTTTACATAGAAGGCCTTTCTAAAGAGCAGATAGCTGATAATTATTGAAGACCAGATTGAGACCAGTAAAAAAAAAGGAAATTAATAGGCATGATATTAGCACCGATAACAAAAAGGCTCCTAAATGTCCATATTGTTGTTCATTGATAAGATGCAATTTCTTGCATTCAGAAGCAAGTTTGAGTACCTAATGCAAAGAGAAAAAGTAACCAACCTGGTGAAAACACTGTGCCGCCCGGTAAACTTTGAAAACCGCCACCTCCTGGTTGCGCTGGTGAACGACTACCTGGACAACCTGGAATAAAATATTATACAAAACTGAAAACAAGAAATGTGAAACTCACTTGTTATCGTCGGTTGCCTCATTGCAGAGCCTCGTGCACCTTGATAACCAAGTCCACTCGAACTCATTGGCATTCCACGGGCGTACTGTATGCGTTGATCAATACTTCCACCGCCTCGGCCTAAGTTTGGGTAACTTCCACGGCCTCGGCTGTACTGTGGGCGTTGATAACTGGCTGGACTATCAACGCCTCTAACTTGATTATCATAAGCCGACCAACCTAAAATAGAGCTTTTGATGTTTGCAATAATTACTGCTTGAAAAAAAATTGCTTACCAGGTGATTGAAAAAGTTCCATACGGACATTACTTAAATTATAATTTCCCTGTTCTCTTATTGTTGGAAAGGTTCCTTGATAAGTCTATAATTATGGTTTATGTATCAAGCGCACTGTATGTCTATTCAATATTTAGTTGAATTGCATCTTAGCACAAATTATTTATTTTTTTACCTGAGCCTGAGACCCTTTCATAATTTCGTTATATAGTTGAGCAGTATTTGGCGTCGCATGCGGTCCAGTTTTCTTATTCATTCGCTGTAACCGTGCCATCTCTTCTTGAAGATTGGTAATTTCTCTTTGGGCTTTGACTAGTTTCTCCACCATTTCCTGTTCCATGATGTCCCTCTGTTTTTGCGAAGGACCGCAAGCACAAAAGATTTCTAAGTCTATATACAATGGATAAAAAAATGTTTATGGATTAGTAAGGCAATATGATTCAAATAGAAATTTCAAGTTGGCAGCATATCAAATTCAAAATTTTTAATATTAATATGGAAAGCAATAACAGAAATGATTGTGAAGAGATGAAGATGAATTTGACGCAATGAGGGGCCAGTGATGATAATACTGATAATAATTATATCATGATAATGGGGCAAGTAAAAAAAATGAAGAATCTGGAATATTAATAACTATTATGAATTCTAGAGACAATGACAACAATCATTGATTTTCAATTTTGCTGTTTTAAACTACCTACTCCTGGTGTTCTTGTTTACTTTTCTAACTTCAAAATATGTTTAGCCTTTGGTCTTTGACCTGACATAATACAGTTATTATAAGTTTTATCTTTTGATACCTTGTGGTAGTTCTTCTAGTTTCTCCTTGTCACTTTTCACTGTTTCTTGAAGAGGACGCTTTCCGGATCCACGACAACAGCAGTCTGCCTTTTGGCTTTGCATTCGAATTCTATCGGCACGAATAGAAGCACAAACACACTGTACATCACCGGCAGCTACAAGCAGTTTGAGTTATTGATAGTTTTTAAACTTAATTTTCTCCAACTGTATTCCTACCTGCAGAAGGTCTCCTAACCGGCTGAACCGGAGGCTCCACTGAAATATTCAGAATTTAATTTTACCTAAGTTATCAATTAATTATTACTACCACCAATAGAAGGATGTTCTGGCGGCTGTTTTTCTGCAGAAAGTATGCTTGGTGGCTTTTCTGAAACACTTATTTTCAAGTACTTTCTATTAAATAGTGATTATTTGTCTATTACCTATAGGATCTTCATTTGGTTTTGGAATCGGTTCTGTGAAAATATTAGCTCATAATTTTTGTTTACAATTTAATTGTTTTACATTAATTATTACTTACCCACGACAGGAGCAGATGATTCTGCAGCTACTTCTGTGAAAAAAAAAATAAGTGCAGAGTAATACGATCTTTCCGATTTTCATCATCTTTTCATTAATATTTCGCGGCTATATTATTTAATAAATAAATAAAACTACTACTCACCTATAACAGAGGGCTCTTCTGGTTGTTCGCCAGGTTCTGGAGTCGGTTCTGTAAGAATATTCATAGATTTTTTTAAAATTTTGATAGAAGTAGCATACATTATTTAACAGATTAATAGAATTCTTTAGAAACATTGTCACTCACCTGGAACAGAAGGTTCTTCTGGTTTGTCAGGACTATATGGTTCTGGAGTCGGTTCTTCGAAAAGATAAACACTTTTTTTAAATTAAATATTCATGCTGTAATACTTGTAATTGATAAAATTCGATGTTTCAAAAATATTTTTTTGACAGGCTTTTGTAAAGATAAGATAGAAGGTTCTTTTGGAACGGCAAGAATAGATGGTTCTGGGATCGGTGCAGTGAAATTATTCAGATTTCGTTTTTAAATTTACCTAAATATTATGCTGTTTTTCTTACCTATAGCGGAAGGTTCTCCTGGTGGTATATTTGATGTTTCTTCCACATGAATAACTGGATCTGGAGGTGGTTCTACAGAATCAACTGGAACAGGTGGAGGTGATAGTGATGACTCAGTTCCTTCTGGAAAAACATCTTGAGACAAAATTAAAGGTTTTTAACAAATAAAAAGTTTCAAACATCATTAAGTTGTATATGGTTGTATAAGTAAGTATATTGGAATATCTGAGAAGGAGAGAAAGGACTGAGATGTGAATACAAACCAAAACGACAAGGAGAGAAAATGAGAATGAGCAAAATTCACAGAAATGAACAACAATCTCAGAAATAGACCAGGATTGGTGAACATCTCATCACGACCACTGAACGAAGAGGAACAACAACTTTAAAAGACTTTCCAGCCTTGAACAACCGCATTGGAAAAAATTGGAATCGTGCCAACCTAAGCCAAAGAAAATCCAATGCGGAAGATAGAACGAACTTGAAAAAGAAGGAACGAAAAATATGTAACTAAACCTCTACGAAACCACCGTCGCATTCGTGATGTGTTCTACGCATAACAAAACCCTTCAATCTCAAGTTTTGATGTGGAGAGTCTATACAAAAGCGTACCAACCCTGACGGACACAATAAATATAGTCGAAGAAGAGTTAGAAAGACGACATCTTAATGAAGAATGGTCTCTTGTAATATCTACATGAACCGGTTTGAAGCAGAAGCCATCAGAAACCTTGAGTTTGTGTCTATGTCTTGATGCTAGACTTATGATAGCATGAAATCATGACGGACAGTATCGGGACCTAAGACCAAGAATACAGTCACATCCATAGAATGGTAGTTGAGCGAATGCCCGATAAATTCGCCATTTTAAGAAACCGTCATTCATCTCCTGCATGTACTGATTAAGCAATAATCATGTTCAGTTGCGGCTAGAAGATGGCTTCTAAAAGGAAACATGTGAAGTAGATTTCGTCAATTGCCTACATTATTAGATGAAGTTGTTGCAGTTCTGAGTAGAAACCATTTTTAATTTGCACCAATCGCTTCATAATCTGGAGTATGACCTGATATTGAGCTAAAAACCGTGCGATAATCATAAAAGATCTCTAGCCTGAGCTTATTTCATAAATGCTTCTTAACTACTAACAATCTTAAGTTCATAAATCGGACCTAAAGAGATGAAACTCTAAAGTAAATAAAAAATGGAAGGCTAGAAGTGGAAAAAAAGAAGCAGTTTACTTATATTATATTAGATAAACTCAGAATTACCACAAGGTGGCTCTGCTGATTTGCGTTTTTCATGTGTTCCTGGATGTTTCTGTACAGCAGGAACTTGTTGAACGCAAATCCCACAAGGTTCCAATTTTGCAGGATGACACATTGAACAGGCCGCTTCGCAACTGGATACTGCAGCACTACTAGACTTTGCAGATTGCATAGTACCACGACTGGATGCTTTAACTTTCGAAGTTATTGTATTCATTAAGTTAGTCGAAGCTTTTATAAAAGTAACCATAGTGTCCATCATGTGGTTCCATGCCTCTATTTCTTCTGGAGAACTATTGGCAGGAGGCTTAAGATTTTCCATTCCGTATTATTAGTATACATTTAACACTTTTGAATTTATTTTGTGGTTGGCGAGGCTTCGTAAGCTTGATTTGATTTATTCATTGTTGGGTCTGACTTGAATTTGATTGCTTGACATAATTTTGATTGACAGTTATTTGTATTTGGTTGAAAGTACCAGGATTCTGTGACTAGGAATTACTTATTAGTTCAGGTGAAAATAGGAAGCTACTTATAGAAAAGTTACTCATGGAACTAGGGATAACAAACTATCGATAGGAATATCGATACTATCGATAGTTTTTTAATTTTCGATAGTATCGATAGACCTGTACCAATATCGATAGTTCCAATGTAGCCAAAGGTAAATGAAAATATCTGTATATTGAGGGAATTATAAAGAAATCTGTAGTTATTTTGAGAAATCTGTAATTATTTTTGGGGATAGACATGCTGTGCTGCCAATTTTTCGGTTAGGAGGAGTGACGAGTGACTTTGATGGACTTGATGGAGGTTGGAGGTTAATGTTTATCGTAATTAATTACAAATTTGGTTACTTTGGTCAGAGCAAACTATCAATAGTACAATCGATAGTTACTATCGATGGGTAGGCCATTCTATCGATATCACTATCGATAGTTTTTTTTTCGATAGTTTGTCAACCCTACATGGAACTATTTAACCAATAACTAAGGATTTTAGAACAACAATCTTTTACTGGCCATAGATGGCAATAACAAAAAAAACTACAAAGACAAAGACAGGTTTAACAACTGAATGATAAATCGACAATGTATGTAAAACTTATGTATGTGTTGGAGGTGTCAGTTGAACTGCGATCAAGGTTGATCTATTGTACCCCTCCTTCTGCTGCTAAGTTCGGGTTTCCTGCTTAGAGCAGCCCCTCTAGTCCTAGGTCCTTCAGGAATTTTAGGATGTCTAGCGGTTCCAGGGCTGGAATGTCTTCCAGCTGTATAAGGGGACTTCCTAAGTTCTTCATTCTTGAGCGGCTTTCGGCATCACAGTTCAGTAGAAGATGGTGAGGTGTTTCTTCACCGTCTTCACAGAATCTGCAAGTGTTACCTTCTTCCAACCCCAGATTATGTAGATGTTTATTCAGTCTGCAATGTCCCGAGAGAGTTTTGAGACTTTTCTTGCTAAGGTTGACCAGCAGTTCAGATCTTTTTTGGTTGTAGCTACCCAGTAGATCTTTGTCCTGTCGTAGTCCTGGTTGGTCTAGCCATTGTTTGTTCCTTAGCCGGTTCCCTTCCTTTTTGAGGATTTCTTGGAGGTGCGCATTTCCGACGCCGCAGAATGGTTCTGGCCCAGTGAAGGGAGTGGCCACTCCCGTTTTTGCAAGTTCGTCTGCGCGTTCATTTCCCTCGACTCCTATGTGTCCAGGAACCCAAAGTAGGGTTACTTTGTTTTCCTTCCCGAGCTCAATGCTTTGAAAGCTGCTTGGCTGTCAGACATTATTACAATTTCTCGTTTTCGGTACCTTCTGTTCAGGTTGAACTGCACGCATTTTCCGATCGCATGAAGTTCGGCTTGGAATATGCTTGGTGATTTGCCCATTGGCTCCGAGTATCTGGTTCGTGGCCCGAATACTCCGGCTCCTGTCCCCTCAGCAGTTTTGGAGCCGTCTGTGAACCATTTGATGGTGTTTGCTTTAAGGGACTGGATACATTCTATGTTCCATCTGTTTTTTGTACTGTTGTTTTTCTCGAAACTGAATTTATCAACAATCGCGTCTTTTGGTAAGTCCATGAGGTGTGCACAGTTTGGGAGAGGGAAAGCTCTGCCAAAGTGCGTTTTCCCCTGTAGACTTATCTTCGCCAGTCTTAGACATGATTCACTGGCAATCCGCTTCACTATTGTGTGAAGTGGTGTTAGGTCGGTCTAGGATGACTTCTATTGCCGCGGTTGGGCATGTTCTCATTGCTCCTGTTATGCATAGACAAGCGACTCTTTGTACCTTTCCTAGGGTTTTCCTAGCTGGGTTCGGCTGTACCAAGCTACCGCTCCGTAGGTAATGATAGGTCTCACTATCATGGTATACATCCATCGTAGGATCGATGGGTTACAACCCCACGTTTTGCCCGCAATGTTTTTACATACCACGAGTGCCGAAATTGCTTTGTTTGTTATGTTCTCTATGTGTCGGTTCCAAAGGAGTTTAGAGTCTAGGGTTATTCCTAGGAATTTAACTTCTTGTTTCCAGTGAAGCCTGCTTCCATCGAGGCCAATGTTCCTCAGATATGGGAGTTTCGTTTTTTGTGTAAATGTTACCAGTGTGGTTTTTGATGAGTTAAGATTCAGTCCCACTGTCTGACACCATTCCTTCGTGGTTCGGAGTGCTTTTTCTATAAGGTCACAGAGTATTCCTTCGTGTTTGCCTCTGGCTATGATGACAATATCATCGGCGATTAAAATACAAATAAATAAAATTAAAGTTGACATTAATAATAAAATTAAATCAGTAACTGCCTTGGCTACGCGAAGCCCTGGTCTGTCAGTGTATTTAGTAGATCATCGACTACTAGACTCCACATCAAAGGTGAGAGTACCCCTCCCTGTGGACATCCTCTCGTTGTGGTGACTTGTATGGTTTGTTCCCTCACATCCATTTCTGCAGCTCTGGTGGCTAACGTTTCACACATCCAGGTGGATGTGGTTTTGTCCACTCCTTTTCTGACAAGCGCATTCTTTATTGACTCATAAGAGGTGTTATCGAAAGCCCCCTCTATGTCTAAGAAGGCGCAGATGGCTACTTCTTTATTCAGCAGTGTGTTTTGGATGCTGTCAGTGAGTTCAAATAGAGCGGTTTCTGTTGATCTGCCTGCTCAAGCATGTTGAATAGGATGTAGTGGCGTCTTTTCTAGAACATTTGTTCTGATATAGTTATCTACAACTTTCTCAACTGTCTCAGTAAGAACGATGTGAGACTAGTGTTGCAGGTATTTCTGGTTCTTGTCTTGCTTTTTCTTGTTCTTGTCTTGTTCTTGCATGCAAGAACAAGACAAGAAGTGGATGAGCAAGAAATATACAAGACAAGAAACTCATAAGCAAGAACAAGATTTCTTGTGCAAGAAATTTGCAAGAAGCAAGACTTCTTGCATAATTTATTTTGAATAATAATATTTAGGTAGCTAATGAATATTAGCAAAAAATAACACATAATTACTTATACTCGAATAACATTTATTGTAAATAAATAAAATAATTTGACAAAAAAAAAAAACCTTTTTTATAGTTTGGTACATGAATAGGACGTTTCATTGAAGAAGCAGTTACAAAAACTATGAAAAATTCGTATTCTAATAAAACACAACAAACAAAAAATATGCTGTCTCAACAAAATTCTTAAAAATGGTGTGTGCTCAAGACCACAGGACAGAAAGTGAAAACTTCAATTAGGCGAGATTAACAATATGAAATACAGGTATTTTTCATGCTCTATATTCAATGCCCAGATTGATCTACCTTTGTATCAAAGGGGTCTATGTCAATTCGTCGTAAGTCAATTCGTCATACGTCAATTCGTCGTAAAGTCAATACGTCGTAAAGTCAGTTCGCCGTATACGTCAATTCGTCGTAAAGACAATTCGTCGTATACGTCAATTCGTCGTAAATTCAATTTTTTGTACACGTGAATTCGTCGTAAAGTTAATTCGTCGTATACGTCAATCCGTCGTAGCGTTAATTCGTCGTATTTTAGGTATAATGTTAAAGTGTATAATTTTGCACTTTTTCTATTTGATCAGACATTATCAAGTTTACCTATAATAACGACGCATTACCATATTGTCGTATATGTCAATTTCTCGTAGCGTTGATTCGACGTATACGTCAATTCGTCGTAAAGTCAATTTGTCGTACACGTCAAATTGTGGTAAGGTAACGTATACGACGATGGAGAGTTCTCGTGCTGTCCATATTTCGAATACCGTAACGCTATTTGACAAGTATGACAATGCTTACGGTATTAGCATTAGCGGAGCCCGCTTACTAACGGGACTTAGCGGATGCCTTACCGTAACGCTACGCTATGACAAAATTAGTTTACGCCCCATTAACATCTGCAAGAACAACAGTTTCTGATAATTCTTCCATAAAAAAAACACCATGAGAAAATTAATGATACTCAGGAATCTTCAGGATAAATAAAAGTGAAAAAACAAGCAAAAAAAAGTTGGGTTAGATCACTCAATTCCAGCTTGCAAAACCGAATAAGGGATTAGAGGATTTCTGTGTCTTCGTATCCGAGAACTATAAAATAGGTAGGTACTATTTAAAACACCGTATTGTTAGCGTTAACCTATTAGCGTAGCGTCTGAGGCACGAGAAATTTTTAATACAGGTAATTCGTCGTTATTATCGGTAAGGACGGTAAGTTTGATAACGTCTGATTAAACAGTAAATTTATACATTTTAACATCGTATCTGAAAACGACGAATTAAAAATACGACGAATTGACGTATACGATGAATTAACGTGTTAATAGTTTGCAATTCTAATCAGACATCATCAAACTTACCGATAATAGCCTGGTTAGTTTGCAATGTAATGCCTGATTAAAATTGCAAACCATATTATCGGTAAGTTTGGTAATGTCTGAAATAACTAACTAGACAGTGTAAATTTATACATTTCAATATTTTCACATAATACCTGAAATACGACGAATTGGAGTATACGACGAAATAATGTTACGACGAATTGACGCATACGACGAATTGACATATACGACGAATTAACTTTACGCCGAATTGGCGTACGACGAATTGACGTATACGACGTATTGATTTACAGCGAATTGACGATGACTCGTATCAAAGATCTGAATAGTTTTGATTTAAATCCATTTGCCAAATATTCTTTAGATTATGCCTGTGTGAAACAGCAATTTCTGTCACACATGAGCATACGGCATACGTTTATATTACATATATTAAATTACGATCAAAGAAAACAGAAAATAATGATTATTGTCAAAAAATGTATGTTTCTTGTGGAAACATATCATTTCCGTTTTTTGGCTATTAACACCAAGCTTCCACTTATCGTAATAGGGTTGCAGGATAGAGAGGTGATTGGCGAGTTGAAATTTTGTTGTTTGCGTGTAGA